TATTTAAGACGATGGTGCAAGTAATCTAAAATTTATATTTAAAAATGAAATAAATTGGCTCCAACATTGAGACACCACTTTCGGGTGTGACTGGTATGATGGAACAATCCACATTTTCTTTGCAATTTATCAATTGTGCCCTTTTTTATTTTAATATGCGTGCTATTTAGGTGTCATTTATAAACAAGCTAATATTTCTCGTTTGGTAGCACTCAAAAGCGTTTGATGTAGACCCCAAATAGGCTTACGACCTTGTAAAAGTTGGAAAAATGAACAAAAGTTTTTTGGCACACACTAAAACATGCTACAATAACATTTAAACAAGGAACGCATAAAAATTGAAACTTTTTACATTTATACCAACTAACTCCCAGATTGACCTTGTAATGTTCCATATGCTAAAATTCAGTGGTTATAGTTATTAAAAGGTATAAATAAAATAAGTAGTTATAATTGGGGTTATGCGTGTTTGGCATGACTTTATAAGAGCATGTGTAAAGCCTCGAAAAAAGATGTTCATACATTTATTGGATGTGGCATCTCTCTGCAAGCTCAAGAATGGTCACAAATGGCTTGGCTGGCACCAATCAATAATAACCCATCCCATTTTTCATATACAATTAAGTAAGTTTAAAAAAAATAAAAATATAGACAAGAGTGTTATACGAATCAGAAAAACTATTATAGACAATGGCTTCTTTAATGGAATAATCGTCACACTATTGTCTTACAAGGTTGTATCATGCCCATGGAATGTAAATCGAGCTATGAGTACTTGAATTGATATAGATCCATTTTAGATTTGCATATATCAAAAAATTGATTACTATTTGACCATCATAACCAACCTTTATATTCAAACTTCCAACACATCGGACCATCCACAAACACTTACATCCAAACACAATCACCTTGCACACCAACACCCAACAACTTATCTTTAACACCCAACAACCTTAAAACAAAACATAACCACCTTACACCCCAAGTCAACATTACCAAAACACACTTTAACAAAACTTATAATTTAACCCAACATCCTTCAAGACTCAACAATAAAAATTGTGCATCACTCACTATTATCCATACTCATGCACACATGCACACAGTCTACTCCTCATGAATACAACAACTTCCAAACACTCTAACCACAAGCCTCTTTTCATCTATCGCAACCATTCACTCTGAATTCATCCCGACACCAACCCGACTACTTCCCATACTTTGAAAACTTAACCCAAAATACTACCCAATAATGCTGAAATTTATAAGGCAATAAATTAAATTATGGCAGTGTAGCGGTTAATACATATTACCTAATTAAGTAGTTACAACCTTCATGGACTATAGAAGTAATGTTAAGACTTCTACTCGGCCACCCAATAATGGTGAGAACAAAATAGGACCTAGAATGTCTTCACAACAAGAAGCAACTCTTCCATGTAGAATTGGCGACCACTTTCCACGAACCGGTCAACATAACGCTATAAATATTTTTATGTAACTTAATAATCATTTAATAAATAAATATCTTAATTATTCTATCTTTTAACATATTTTTTTACATTTAATATATTTTGATTTTAATTATTACAAAATCATAAATTTTTTTTTACATTTTCTTAATAAAAAATTAATATTATACTATTACTTATTATAATTATCATAACTAAAAAAATAATTTGAAATTTTGAAAATTAGGGATTTACAGGACCCTTCAATGCAAATTGACAGATCCCCTTAACATTTATAAAAGACTACATAGCATTGGACGAGTGCTATTAAAATTTCAAGAGTCAATTTTATTTTAAATAACCAACTTTTCCAACAAAATTCTCGAATAACCAACTTTCCCCATAAATTTCCAAAGTACCTATGTTTCAAACAAAACAAAATTGCAACGTAGAGGATTACCCAATCAAATTGGCGACAACTATCAAAAAGAAAGTTCCCTAGCCAATTTAATTAGTGATTGCACTTTGTCTAGCCAATTGAATTGGTGACAGTGTACAACCCTTAAGAGAAGTCGCCAGTTCATATGGCTCTTATGTGTTGGATGCTTTATTTAGTATAAATAGAGGTGTGCCTTCTACCATTTTTCCAAACCTCTTCTCATTTTCTTTTTAATATTTTCATAATTTGTTCTAACATGAGTAATAAAATAAATGTGCATGTTTTTTTATCGAGAACCAAGCCTCCTATGAAGATGCATTTTTAGAACATCCGAAGTTTCGAGCAACTTTAGAGGAATTTGATCATTTGGTTAGACATAGATATTAATGGCGGTGAAAGAATTAGAAGTATTGAGAGACTTTTTTCATACATCTATATTGCGAATAATAATGATGATATCCAACATATGTGGGTGCTAGTGAAAAATGATAATGATGTTAGGGATATGACGTCTGCACCAGATGATATGGTCTTGAGTGCTGTAATATTTTAGATATGTTGTGGTGTTAAGTCATTTATTTGTTGTCTGTGTTGTTGTTTTAGGCATGTTTATGTTTGTGTGTTGTTGTTTTAGAGGTGTTTATGTTTATTTTTTCATAACCAAAAGTCATTATCTATATTAAATTCCAAGGTTACAAAAGTTTTAACAACATATTAAATTATCATGCAGATGTTGTTCCAGCATTGGGACAAAGTTTTCATGTGTGTTTGGGCTGACAACATATACCACGCAATCTTACCAATTTTTCAGTCGTATCTATTTCGGTTCTTATACGTGTCCTTTTGGGTCAACCGTTGTTCTTCCGTCTGATATTCTCATTGTGCCAAATTTTATCCCCTTGATATGTCGGCCATTATTCCTCTTTTTCTACAACTCGGAAGTTATTAATGTATACACTAAATACGTTTATGAATTTATAAATGGCGGATAGATGCTTAGAAGTTTCATGTCGAGCAATTGATCATGTCCTAATGATATAGGAGCAAGTCATGCAAAAGGCTTGAAACTTTCTGTAGTGCCTTGAAACTTCCCCTGGTTGTGGTTCATTGTCTTCTCTACACTTAAAGTGTATCTATGACAGTCAAAGCATGTAACCACATGGGTGATAACTTTAATAATTTCCTCTTCATCGATTTCATGTAGCTTTCGCTGAATAATCGCCCTGATTTTAACATTGAACTTCACTTTTTACCTTAAGTTATGAACAAATATCATAACCTAAAATAGGTTGCTCTCACCAACGCAATTATGGGTAGGTTTCTAATGACTTTGAAGAAAAATTTAATTGATTCCACAAGGTTTATTGTCATGTGACTTCATCGTCGACCCTTGTTAGTTCCTCGGTCCATTTCTCCACTAGAATAATGTCGACCCACCTTAATGCATCCATATTTGACAATATGATTTCCTTGCAATAGTGTCTGAATGATGATTGATTTAAAACATACCCTACATTCACAACTTTTTTCAAAGACTCTTGTCTTTGATTTCCCCCATGAAGTTTTGTGTTATATGTCTAATGTAGTAGACATGGGTAGAAGGAGGATTTTTCCAATCATTATTAGGATTATTGTATGCACTCTTAATAGATGTATGTCTGTCTGAAATCAAATGGAGGTTTGGTTGTGGAGCAATGTGTGTTATGAGATTATTGAGAAAGAAACTCCAACCACCACTAGTCTCACCTTTAACTAGAGCGAAGGCAGTGGGAAAGGTATTATTGTTGTGGTCTTATGCCATTACCTTAAGTAATGTGCCCTTGTATTTCATTAGCCCGGTCATACACAAAAACTATTACTACAGTATAATATTAGATGAAATTCTATCGAAGAACAAAAAAGTTAAAATAAAACTAGATGTTATATTATGCTACTAATTGGTGTATTACTATTTCTCGATGGTAGTGGTTTTACTGTACATATTATGTATTTATCCTTATTAAGAACATAGATAAAATAGGAACATATACTTGAGGTTCAACTTGTTTGTCTCATCTCTATATCTCTTTGTGTAAAAACGCAAAGCAGAACACATATACATTTTATAGATGTGTCGTTTTGCTCCGAGAATGGGGTTGATTTAGTTTGTCGTCCCTAGCATCCGTCAACCGCAACAACTTCTCATCCTCTTACGCAAAAAGTAAGTTAATATCATTATTTCCATTTTCCTAATTTACCTATTATTATTTATAAATAATTTATTTTAACTATTTTGGTTTAGGTGACTAATCCATAGGATGAATTACAACAGATGGTCGGGCACTATTATAGGATGAATTTAATAGTGCTTTTAAAAAAATTGCTATTAAAAAGGAAACAAACATATCTATAATGCACTTTATGGTCGGGCGCTATTATAGAGTGTAGACAATGTGATTTTGATAGCACTTTATTAAAAAACGCTATTATTAAAAAGGAAACAAACATATTTATAATAGCGCTTTTAAAAAAAGTGCTATTAATAAAGAAACAAACATATCTATAATAGCACTTTATGGTCGGACGCTATTATAGAGTGTAGACAATGTGATTTTGATAGTACTTTATTAAAAAATGCTATTACTAAAAAGGAAACAAACATATTTATAATAACACTTTTAAAAAATGTGCTATTAAAAAAGAAACAAACATATCTATAATAGCACTTTATGGTCGGGCGCTATTATAGGGTGTAGACAATGTGATTTTGATAGAACTTTATTAAAAAACGCTATTATTAAAAAGGAAACAAACATATTTATAATAGCACTTTTAGAAAAAGTACTATTAAAAAAGAAACAAACATATCTATAATAGCACTTTATGGTCGGGCGCTATTATAAAGTGTAGACAATATAATTTTGATAGCACTTTATTAAAAAACGCTATTATTAAGATATAATATATTACTAGAAATAGAAGAGGATAAGGGAGACGAGAATCAAACGAAGCATGCCACAAACCCTCTACCCATCTTCAACCTTCAGATTTCAGCATAATATTGTTAGAAATTAAACCAGCTCTATAAGATGATATAATACACAAATTCAATTTTACTAATCAAGAAGATGAAGAACAAGTTGAGGTCACAACAATCACATTCACAGAAACAAGGAATGAGTAATTTTGATATGAAACAAAGAGTACTAACCACATTAAACAAAGTCGGCGACCGCGATACGCATCAAATAGGAACCAATCAGCTTCGCGCGATCCTCAACTCTTTAACTCCTCAACCTATATCCCCGCTCCTCTCGTGCATACTCGACATTCACTCTGAACAGAAAACATCTATCCATAAACAATGTATCAAACTCATGGGAACAATGGCGGAAGTTTACGAAGCTCTAGTCCTTCCATATCTTTCCAAAATGGTTGCCACAATTGTTAAATGCTTTAGGGTTTCAGATTCTTCGGTCCGAGAATCCTGTGTTGAAATGGTTGCGGTAGTAGCTTCTAAATTGGGTAATCAAAATAATGAAGATAAGGTGTTTGTGTTATTGGCTAGTCCACTTTTCGAAGCGCTGGTTAGTGACCAGAATAAGCATGTTCAGTCTGCTTCTGCTTTTTGTCTTGCTACTGTTATTCACAACACGCATAGTCCTCCTATTTCGATTTTGCATAAAATGTTGGTTAGGATTCTTAAGTTGCTTAAAAATCCACATTTTATGGCTAAACCTGCACTCATTGAGTTGAATAGGAGTATCATTCAGGCTGGGGGAGCTTTTACGCAAAGTGTTTTGACTACTGCTGTTGCTGGTATTAGGGAGGCCTTAAAAGATACTGACTGGAAAACCCGGAAAGCGGCTTCTGTAGCATTGGGACAAATTGCTTTGAGTCGTGCGTCTTTGTTGTTGTCTTTAAGTCCTTCTTGTATTCATTCTCTTGACTCCTCAAGGTTTGACAAGGTGATTTCTGACTCAAATTTTGCACTTGTATATTTCTTAATTTCCATGTTTCTTTGTCAACTTATATACTGATAATTGGTTATAGGTCAAACCGGTTAGGGATGCTGTTTTGCAAGCTCTTAATTGGTTATAGGTCCATCCTTGTATTTTATTGACAGAACAATGTTTCTCAAGGATGTGATTTTGTATACGGACAACGATGATAACGCAAATTGGAAGAAACTAGGAGATAATGTGCTTCACATTGAGCTTCACAATTGGGCTGATATCATGGTCATTGCTCCAATTATCGGTAAACACTCTTGGCAAGGTAATTGATCACCATAATGTTGTTAGAAATTAAACCAACTCTATAAGACTTTCCAATTTATACAGTTCCGACATATTTGCATGAAGATGTGTTCCTATCAATTCTATGATGTTTAGTTTCTGTATGGATGTGTTCCTATCAATGAGTTTGCAAATTGTCTAAATTCTAAAAGAATCACCTCTGTTCGTTGTACTCCTTTTTCATTGGGAGAGTTGCAAATTGGTACTGCTAACTTTGCTTCCGACCGAATTCTTGGTGAAGGAAACCTTGGACCTGTTTATCGTACCAAATATGTCGATAGAAAGGTACTTTCTGTTATATAAACTAGTCATGGATACACTACTGTTAGTTTATGCATGTGCATGACATATTCATATGATTGGCTAAGCATCACAATACGGTAACTAACTTTATTCGGAGAGCATCCCTTAGACGGCATTTCTGCGATAAACATTGAAACGAAACCTGCACCTAACAAGATCTGGTTGGCCAAAACCAAAGATATCATCGGCATGTTATAGAGTTTTTGCAAAACCTGTCAAAACATCAAGTTAATGTCAGGTTCTTTGCATTAAACTCATTTGATATTTGTATTCAGTGACATGGAGTTTGATCAAGCTTCTGCAAACTTTTGGGAGACAGATTACCAAGCAATCACTAGGAAGTATAAAGAGAAAGGGTATGGTTCTGCTGTGCCTCAGATAGTTTTTTGGAATTTGAGAGACTCGAGGGCGACCTCGGTGTCATCCACTCAGAAAGGAGTGGCCCTGGTGAGTGGGTTTTCTAAGAATCTGCTGACATTTTTCTTCAACAATGAAGGTGATATAAGCCCCGTAGAAGCCATGGAAGCTGCCATCGCTGGCCCTGAGTATCAGAAACTAGTTGTGCTGGATTAGATTCCTTCTGTAGTTAGCTAGTGTTATATATAGTGTGCAACAATCAACCATGTCATTGATAAATGTTCCTGCAACTTTGTATCTATTGGGAAGTATCAAGTATTAAGATTAAGAAATTTTGTATCGAATGAAGATAGGAAAAACTTACATACAGTTTCTTATTGAGTTCCTAATTTTCTAATTATAAACTTGACTAATGTTTTATATTTTCTATTTTACCAATCTGTGAATTAACAAAGGATAACCATAACCAATATCCTTTAATGTAGATTTTTCAAAACCTTGTTTGTAAGGTCAAAGCTTATCTTAGCAGTTAGCAGCAGGCATGTGTATCCTATAGCTTTTGGTCTCTAAGCATATGTAATTTATTCTCCCATAACATGCAATGTATCAGTTAGCAATATACTTTTGAATCCAATAATTGTGGTTTGTTATTCTTCTTCCAAATGCTACTAGCACGTCAAACATATATCTATCTCGATATTATATTATAACCTTTTTCTAAATATCCCTTGTTGGATTGACAGAACTCCATTATGCTAGTAGTCATGGAATGGAAATTATTGGTCCTCTTAGAGAATCAGTATTTGATAATCACCCGAATTGCATTAGATCCACGGATAAAAAGGTACTAGTCTTCGATTCAAGGTTTCTATCTAGCATATGTTTCTGATCTTACTTCATTTTGTCTTTCTTGTTCGAGAAGTGTCGTTGTAAAGCGCCTATATATTGATTTATAATCTTCTAAAATGACAGGGTAAGGAAGTTAATTTATTCCAACCTGCTGCTGATTTCCTACCTATGATTGATGAGGTACGTGTTATCCTTTTCTATGTAACACTGACACATCACTTCTAAGACGTGTCTGATGTTCAACACTAACTTATATAGTTGCATTAAAATATTTCATTTTTAGAAAATTATATCAATGTCAACGTATTAGTGTTAGCGTCATATCTGATGTCTGTGTAAGCGCTTCATAGATTCTGATTGGCTCATGTTTATACAGGTACGGATGTTGCTCGTTGAGTGTATAAAAGGCATCAAAGGAGCAAAAATTGAGAATAATAAGTTTTGTGTCTCTGTACATTATCGTAATGTGGACGAAGAGGTACTGCTAACTACTCCCTCTATTTATTTTAAATTGTTGTTTTTGTAGAATATTTTGTTAGTAGTATTAGTGAATGAATAGGCGGTATAATATTTTGTTTTGTATATTGTACAGAATTAGGATTTGGTGGCACAACGCGTTTACGATATAATGAAAGACTATCCACATTTACAAACTTTTTTTACAAGAATACAAGAATGATTTGGCATTTTTTTACTCTATATCTTTTGTGAAACATGTTGGATATGGTGATGCAGGAAACATGTATGGTGTTCAGGGTTCTGGAGCCAGAGCAGTTGCTTAATTTAACTGCTTTGGATGGTTTATTTTGTTTTCAGATCGTATTATTTGTTAGTGTACTAACTTATATCCTTTCCCTTTCCTTTCAGGTGGATATCCGCAGGTGCGTATTTTTCAGATCAAGTTTAAGCCCCCGATTTGATGTTATACTGGCATGGTTGAATGTTTTAAGTTATTATAATTTTGTATCTTATGAGAAGCACTGTTAAAAATGAGTGATGGTTGACCGCTCCTTGTGAAGGTTAAATCGTCTAACTATTGTTTTTTAAACTGTAGATGCCCAATGCTTCTGCCATTGCAACTACCTTTGGGGGAGGTTTACCTCCAGGAATAACCGGGACAAACGAAATATGTACTCTTCTTGTCTCAAATCATAATCCTGAGGTAAGTTCTTTTTCTGTCTTCTGTCTAACCCCGCCTTATCTCAGCCTATTCAGCTTGAAATTTGTTTATGTCAGAGAATCGACGAGGACAAACTGTTCAACTTGTTCTCCCTTTACGGGAACATCGTGAGAATTAAACTTCTATGAAATAAACTAGATCATGCATTTATCTAGATGGGAGATGGTTTCCAAGCTGAACTGGCAGTACACTTTCTGAAGGTTTGTTTCCTGTCCACCTTCCTTACCTGGTTTTCGATTTCAAAGACTGCGATAAACTTTCAACATTGACATGTAGGGAGCCATGTTGTTTGATAAGCGACTTGAGGTGAAATTCTCAAAGCATCCAAACATAACCCAAGGTTCTGACATACACGATTACAGCAACTCAAATCTCAACCATTTCAACCGAAATGCTACTAAAAATTACCGTTACTGCTGCTCCCCAACAAAGATGATCCATTTGTCCACACTTCCACAAGACATCACTGAGGAGGATACTGTGACCCTTCTAGAGGAGCATGAAACCATTGTCAATAGCAAAGTCTTTGAGATGAATGGTAAGAAACAAGGTCTGGTTCAGTTTGAGACTGAGGAGCAGGCTACGGAAGCCCTCGTGTGCAAGCATGCCACCTCACTTTCCGGATCGGTAATCCGGATCTCTTATTCTCAATTGAAGAATATATGAAACTTAACAATGTTAAGGATCCCAGACAATAAGAACTGGGGTAGTGATGGTTGCTAAGTAAATTAGAGACGAGGGTTCTGAATTTGGAAGGATTTTTTATATGCAAGTAGATGATGATCTTCATTATCTTGTAATGGTGGCTTTGATTGCTAGTTTACTGTTGATAATCTCGCACCCTGACTCTTTTCTCCCTAAATCATTTTCTTTTCTCATCTCCATTGCTCTTATCATTTCATTAGATTGCTAACATAATGGTGAGTACGGGGTGTAGATTTTGTGATTGGTAAAAGTTGAGTCTTGAGGAATAGGAAGGTGGTGAAATCACTGTCTTCTCTTTACCTCCTTTATTTTTTTAAATCATTCTTGTATTTTGGCCAAAATCGGAAGGTACTATTTCAGTTCTATACCTAAAATTTTTTTACTCATTTTTCATGTTCTTGTTAAGAAACATATCTGTTATAGAACTCAGTAGCATATGTTTACTGATAATATGCAGGTGTTAGAGGTTCGACCGGCGATTGATTGGGATAAGGGAAAAGCTGTTACATTTTTGCTAGAATCACTTGGTGAGTTCATTTGTTGATTATTCAATTTAACGGTTACCGTGTATTCAACTATCAGAATTTGTTTTTTTCCAGTAAATGACATTAGATGTGTTTTTATTTAGGACTTAACAATGATGACAATGTTCTAGCTATATATACGGCGATGATCGGACAGATGAAGATGCATTTAAGGTTAAATGTTTTTTATGATGCTATACTAAAAATGCACATTCTTCATTTTTATTTTTTTACTTAGTTTATGTATTTTCTTATTATTATACTGATATATAAAATTAACGGTAACTGGTTTTGAGTGAGGTTAATAAAGGTTTCGGAATCTTAGTTTCTTCTGCGCCTAAAGAAAGCAACGCGGATTACTCTCTTTGTGATCCTTCTGAGGTAATTCTTGTTTTCATAATCTATCTGAGAGAACTTATGAAAATAAGTTGCAAACATCTTCCGAACATATCATAAGCTCTATCTATAAGCTCTCTCAAATAACCTCACAAGTATTTTTATATAAGTTATAACTTATTTTTAAAAGTTTTTTAATAAGATCAGTTCCATCATAATGTTGTATGTGCAGGTTATGGAATTTCTCAAATCACTTGTGGCATGGAAATCAAACTCTTTAGAATAATGTATAGAGAAGAATAAGCTCTATACTATACTATATATTAGTCACAGATTCTGATTTTGGGTTTGGTTGAGAACATTTCAAATGCTTATTGGATCAGAATTAAGCTCTGAAGAAGACCTTTCAAGATAGGAATAACTTTTTCACCATGTTTTATTTTGTCCAAGCTTTTGTGGTAGCTTTTTAGGTCCATTAATGGTGATAGCTTTATAATCATATGAAACAGAAGCTTCATGTTGAGCAATAAGGTGAAGTTGCAAGTATCAGCAACAACAACACATTGAGCTTGAAGCCCATAATGAATAATGAACCTTGAATATGTTATGTATTTTATTTTCAAATATTTTAGCTGTTTAGTCATTATTATTTTATGAATTCTAATGTCATAAAATGAAAATGCCACACACACACACACACACACACACACACACACACACACACACACACACACACACACACACACACACACACACACACACACACACACACACACACATATATATATATATATATATATATATATATATATATATATATATATATATATATATATATATATATATATATATATATATATATATATATATATATATATATATATATATATATATATATATATATATATATATATATATATATATATATATATATAACAAAAGAATGATTTTGGGTAAAAAAAAAAAAAGTGTACTACAATAGCGTTTTGAAGAGAGAGTGCTATTAATGATACATACTATAATAGAATTTTTATGGAAAAGTGCTATCTAATATGTGTCTTATAATAGCACTTTGTTTGAAAGTGCTATCAAAATCAAAGCAAATTACCGGTACTATAATAGCGTTTTGTTTGAAAGTGCTATCTAATATGTGTTTTATAATAGCGCTTTTGGAAAAATGCTATTAAATACCGGTACTATAATAGCGCTTTTGGAAAAACGCTATTAATTACCAGTACTTTAATAGCGCTTTTAAAGCGCTATCAAAAAAATTTATTTACAATAGCAACCTGGTTAATAGCGCTTTTAAGGGCTATCAAAAAGCAAAAAAAAAACGCTATTAAATAGCTTTTTGTAGTAGTGTAGACACTGCATCTCTCATTATTGAAATCTCTTGGATCACCTAACACCTAACGATGTATTTGCAACTAAACTAATCATTTCATAATTATTTTTAAAATTAACCATTTACTAATCTAATTTATTTTTTCCTCTACAAAATATTTAGAGGCCATCTTTGGGTCTGGAACATCATCATGAAATCAACAAAGAAAATGAAGTCGTTTGGACTATAACAACACCGATTATATGGTTCACCACTCTTAAGATGCACCATAGAGATCGTGTGAAACTACAATTCAATGTGCGTCAACAAATTCCATATCCCTCGAGGTGCCTCGGACAATGGAATCAATGTAAAGTTAATGAACAGTAGGCCTTTGACGATTGGAAAGGCTTCACTAAAGTTGTGTGTCGTCAATGGAGGCACCGTCATCAATGAGTTAATTGATGTGTCATACCAACCAAAACTAAAACAATTAATAATTATATGTAATGGTATAGATAGGTCACAATTGAGTTTTATTCCGAAGATAGATATTTATACGACTCACGCCAAACCACTTACTTACACACAACAAACTTCAACATCTAACCCCCAATAAAATTACTAAACATTCTACCCACAACTATCAAACACCTATGGAGAATTACAATAACTTATTAGGTAATCTTATAATGGTGATGTTAAAGGGTACTCATATAAAACACCTAGGAAGAATCAATAGAGACTGATACGAGAAAGAGTACCTAGGGGTGTGGAACCGATGCCATGTACGAACAAGTGAGTCGTCGTTGTTCGTGTAAAAATATCTCGTATATAATATTAGATGATATGCTTCGAGCTAGAGGGGTGAATAGATCATAAATTTATAATCAAACTTTTGGCAAAAATGGTTTTCAAGAGTTTTATGGCACAACAGAAACAACCTAAATCAAATCTTCTAACCGAACTTCTATCGAAAAGCTCAGATATGCGTAAAGTTACACAATTGAATAATAATGAAGACAAATTATTCAACAACTATTAATCACAACACAATCAAATGGTAAGCTAAATGTAGAGCTTATTTCCAATGATAAAAAAACACACAAAAATATAAATGAGGAAATTATCAAACACGTTGTGTGCAATAGATATCGTTTAGAATTTCACTTTATTTTGTTGATCTTAAGAACAAATCATAATCAATAGGATTATGAGTCTATCAACAAAGCCTAATTCAAAGTGTGATAAAAAATAATTCCCAATCGAATTGATCAAAACCAATGAATTCAATAATTTGCAAACACAAAAATTATAAGAGAAAGAGATAGAGATAGAGATAGAGATAGAGAGAGAGATAGAGATATAGATAGATAGATAGATAGATAGATATATAGATAGATAGATAGATAGAGAGAGAGAGAGAATGATTTTCTTAGGTAGTTCCCAATCAGCCTCACTATGGGTATGTTTTCCCTTAATTCGAAATTGAATTGAGATACTTGCAATTAACCTTGCTTTGCAAAATAATTATATACAATAGATGAAGAGCTCTAACCCTACAAACACTCTTGTTTGTTGTTGATTATACCACCTCTAAAACCCTTGATCAAATATTTTTCAAGTCGTCAACAATGTCGCTTCAATTCACTAATTGTTGATATTTCCTTGCAAGGAACCACCTTGTCCTAAGGCTTTCACACGATTGAATTAATTCCAAGCACACACTTTCTGGACCCAAGATTTACTAACATGATCCACCATCTCACGTTACTCCCTTGCAAGGAACCACCTTGTCCCAATGCATTCACTCAATCGAATCTGAATTGCGTAATCTTGTTTAAAACCTTCAAATCTTCAACGATCTTGAAGGAAAACTGCAACTCAATTTTCTTATTTGAAACCCTCAAAGAACATAACATAATATTATTGTTACACCAACCCAATTGGATATTATCAACCTTAATCTAGATGGTCACCCAATTAAAAATGATTATGTGTAGTTTGATTGTGTGTATGCATAGAAGAGAGGTTGAAGATGATGAGTCTGGTTTGAAATTCTAGTTTCATATAAGTTTTACAATAGAACCTTACTATAAAAAGATGCATGAAACAATATTTATATGTATGTGTAACACGGTGGGAGAACTGACTTTAAACAATGTTGCGGATAGCAAGAGTCGCCACCGACTTTTATTTTATCCATAAGGAAAGGTTATAAAAGAACAGGAAAGACCTTAGAGAATATTTTGGGTCCGGGGGGTAGGTTATGAAAAGGGAAGGTGTTAGCACCCTTTTCATCCATGGTTATCCATGGGCTCTTAGGTACTTAAGCTCACTTTTGAATTGTTTTGAAATTGTAGTGTGTGAATAGAAAATTTTCAGAATAGTTTAATAATAATCCGTGTATGGATGTGAAAAAAACTTGTTTGAAAATTTTGTTGGAAATTTGTTTAAGTGTGAAAAAGTTTTGAAGTGAGCAAGTATCTAGGAGTAGCCTACCCTAATGTTTTAAGGTCTTTCTTATTCTTTATCCTTTCCTTAGTAAGACTATCCCTACTATAATGGAGTAGGTAGTCCTTACTTTGGATGTTAAGGGGTATGTGAGGGACAATTTGACTTTGAAGGCCATTGTGGGATGTAATAAGCACATATAAGGGACCATCATCATTTTTCGAAAGGGACTTGATTCGTAAAGGCAACCATAAGGGACTTTGATGATTTTTTTATTTCAGGGACTTGCTTTATACACCCCACTTAACCAATATTCATAGGCA